ATGTATGAAGCTTGGGACAAAATTAGAGATAGATCCGGCCTGGTTCACTCTGTAACCAGCGACATGTGTTGTAACAAATGTAAGTATTTCTTATTTTGTAGTGATTTCTTAGAGAAGTTTGTTGTTGAAGAGCTTTTTGCCGTTGTTTGTAGATGGTGTGGATGGCAGAAAGTGCTTTGTCAACATACAAAACGTGGGTTTTGCAATGTTGCAGGTATCATGTGCGTGTATCGATGTACTTGTCAGCAGCAAACGATAGTAACCGGAGGGATGGGATTTTACATCCAGTGCCGTCTTTATAAATTCTCTCGGCTTACTTGTGGCCGTATAGGCCACGCTTGATTTCAAGAACAGAGATAGAAGGATGCTATCTGATTGTGAGCGTTGAAGCGAATGTATGGATAGGTTTTTGCATCCAAGAAAGTCGACAATATATTCGGCAATAATCTGATCCAATTCGGGACTGCTGAACGAATCATCTTACCTTCAGATCGTAAGTGTACCATAGTTTTACTATTTTAAAAGCTAGGGACTGATAGATTGACAGCTGTTGCATATGGTTTTGTGTATCTATCGTTGGTTTGTTATTCGTTTCCTCGTGGCAATTATACGTTTTTTTGCATCCAGGAGGGACGAGAGAGACTAGCCGATAATATATTTGGTAGTAATCTGGTCCAGCTCGGGACTGCTGACCAAGTCCTACCTTCATGTATTGAGTGTACCTTAGTTTTACGACAAGGGCTGATGCATTGGCAGCTGGTGCATATATTTTTGTGTAGTGAATATGTTCGTCTCCTCGGGCAATCATACGTGCTTTGTACCAGGTTGGTTTTGTGTCTGTGCCCATTGTGTTTAGTGGTGGAAATATTTTTGCGATGTACAGTTTTTGCAGTTGGTAAGGCGATAATAGGTATGATTGTTTCCACGAGATCGTACAATAGACAGCGATAATGGTTATTGTCCAACTTCGGGAAAATCCGAAAGCTTTGTTTGGGTAGCGACCTGGGACGGTTGAGTCGTATAGGGATTCTATTATTCATTTCAATCTGGGCAAATTAATGTGTGCCTACATGCACATCAGGCTTCATATTCGTTGCAGAGGTTCTGGGAAAACTGATTTGAATTAAGATTGTCGAACTGCAGCGAGAAGCTCGGGGCGAGTGATACAACGATGGAAGACATACAGTGTGCTAATTGGCGACGATGGTTACAGAACACCTCTACTATTGGATGGGAGCTAAAACTTGTGTGCCATTGTGTGCAATAAAGCTGGCCAACACTCTCAGTGGTAATATAAGCTGAGCCCAGTCTGAATGTTTTCGAACGTCATACCAGGAAGGATGAGGTTGTCATCTGTAATTCTGCTTCGGAGCGAAGTTGGAGGCTGCCCGATACCACACCACACAACTAATCTATGTGGAATATCCTGGTAAGCCACAGTTTGGTCTGGACCGAAATCTAGAAATAGTACTTCAGCCAAGTGATGAGACGAGGTATAGGGAACATCAATCGGATGACCAGTACTGGATGGGGATAATTGGTGCCCGCCATTCATGTAGTAGGAGGTTTCCGAGATTGTCGTGGAGAGTTCATATACCTTGGTAGCCATGCTGATTCTGTAGCTGTTGTAGTAAGTCCGGTCCAATTGAAGGTAGATTAAGGCCCACCAGAATACGTCTTAATACGTTACCAATACAAGCAAAGTGGCTGGAAGTAAATTCTTATCTCCGGGGCACACTAACTAGGCAGAGGCACCTACCAATACGATAGTCAAGTAATTTGAACAGGAACATGTTGGTTGCTGTTATGGCACAAATGCGTATTGGGATGTGTTCATGGCAATGTATTGCTCGCGTAGCTGACTTCTTTGTGTTAAGGCGTGCAATCGCCCCTCGGTTCTAGATGAGCGTAAATACTGAATAGTTGCCCGTAGGTCTTTTACGTGTCCAAAAGGGTCTCGTAAGTGGGGCGAGTGAATTTGTACTGTTGACCGAGTCGAGATGTAACGTCCCCAGGCAGCCACAAAGGTACTCCGCGAATTGGCTTGCTGGAAGTAAACCCCAGATGCAAAGAAGCCGTATGCGCTGGTAATAGAGTTTTGGGATTGCAGTGCCTGTTGTGATAGCTACTGCTTGGAATAGCGCTGAGTTGTACCGCTGTATAGTGCCTTCAACGCGGCATGCCAAATAGGTGGAGCCCATGTATTGATGTTCAGACCATAGGTGACCGTTGAAGGAATGAGTGTCTTGAATATTTCCAACCGATTTCGCGGATTGTGCCAGCTGAACCCAAGAAACCCATACGCTCGGAAAGTGATGTCAATTTTAGCAGAGAGGGGATAAGATCGAGTAGTAAAGGGAGTGTATGTCAGCTGGGTACATATAAAGGTAGCGTGTGGATATATTTAGCCGAGTCTCAAAAAGTGGCTGTAGGTGGAGAATAATGAGAGAGAATAAGGCGATCAATATAATGTTTATCGGCATTCGGGGGTTGAGCCAGAGCATGCACGACGGCATGGTCAGTGATGATGAGGTGAAAGTACCAAAGTAGATTGTGTTGGTATTTCTGTGTGAGCACGAAACGTGAAAAAATCGAATGTAATAAAGGAGGACTAGTAGGCATAGAGCTGATATTAGTGTTTGTTTATGGTATAATGTGACGAAAAACAGGTAATTTAGTGCTTTAGGGCTTAACTGTGGTGGCATAGAAAGAACGTTGTAAGGTTTGTAGTGGTTTGCGCACAATAGAGAGTGACGAGTCAAAAAGGTGGGCAGGATCTGGCGTGTCCGGCTTGGGTGATATCGGTGAGAGATGAATATATGCTCTATGGTGAGTGACGTATGTGTATGTTATGTGCAGTGTAAAGTGGCGGTGGAGTGTAAACAGAAAAAAGTGGAGAATTGTTTAGTGTAACGGGTTTGTGTTCGCGATTCACTGGAGAGGTAGTAAGGAGGAAAGCAAAACTGGTAGGTATGATCCTGGTGGCAGGTCAGTTAGTCAACATCAATATCACAAGTTGTGGGGATGTCAGAAAGTGAGACCCTGTGAGAATTCGATAGCCTTAGTGTATATCTTATAACGTTGGGTAGCTAACTCTTAGATGCGGCAACAGTCTGGGGTAGGGTGTGGTGCGCTGCCAATAATTTCGCCATAGCCGGATTGAGTACAGAGTGTTTACTAAGGATAATATATTATAATTCAATTTGGGTAAATTACTGTCTAGCATAGCCGGCTGGTCCGTGGAGTTCAAACATACAAATAACTGACAGATATGATCCTGATGGCATGTCAGATAGTCAATAAACATATCACAAGTAGTGGGGATGTCAGAAAGTGAGGCCTTTCAAAGGTCATCAGTGAGAAATTCGATATCCTTAGTGTAAAACTAATAACGTTGGGCAACTAACTTTTAGATGCGGCAACAGTCTGGGGTAGGGTATGGTGCGCTGCCTATAATTTCGTCCTATAATTTCGCCATAAACGGGCTGAGTACAAAGAGTATTTACTAGGGATAATATAATTTATTCCAATTTGGGTAAATTACTATATGTCTAGAATATCTGACTGGTCCGTAGAGTTTAAACATACAAATAACTGGTAGGTATGATCCTGGTGGGAGAAAGAACTCTACAATATTTCTCATCTTTGATGCAAATAGCAGCGTAAAAAAAAAGTTCAGGCATAGTTCATGTTTGTGACCGTGAAGAGATTTTATTCATGCCCGTGACCAAGTGAGAAGGAGCGCAATATTCGGATCTACCAGCTTCACCAACAATGAAGTTTGAAACTACCGAGAATTTTTTTTTGCAACTACGAGATCAGAAGCTTTGATCTACAAGTCGATACTCAATAGAATAGTTGGCTCGGAAAAAGATGAGTTTCCAATCGATTACGGTTTAGTGTAGTTACCAAGTACAAAGATGAAGTTGCAGATGGCCAGAAGCAATGTTTTGTGCACTTCAAATGGAAGGCGACAAACCCCAATTAGCTCATAGAGTTGTTCTCAACTACTTCCTAGCAGATGAGAACATGTTCACAACCAGTATTTCCAAAACATAGCAAAAATTTCACGCCTTACAGCACCCCAGTGGTGAAAGTACAATCCTGCAGTACTCATAGTGCGCCCATCGCATTCTGTACTAATATAAATGTACGCCACAAGTGTACGTTACCTGGGATTCGCGTGACCCAGTAGAGAAACGATCTCAGGTGTACGTATAAGCTCGGTTAGCAATTATAGTTCCAATACTTAACATTCTACAATTATCCAGCAATAGGTGCACTGTATATTACTATTACTATTGTAATCTCATTTGTGCTGATGTGGTTGTGAAAGATTTCTTTGGCGAACTCGCCCGAAAACATATGGAAAATTTGATGGATATTCTTGTCTTTCTATAGGGCTATGATATTCTCCACTAATCAGGACCAATTTCTTCCACAATTGGCTTCGGACTGATTGTTACAAATATTTTATTCTGGGATCACGAATGAAACTAAATATTTTCTTCGATTTTAAGACAAACACAAACCGGCACAGACGTATACGCCAGCCTTTGACATATTTTGGCGTCCCTATCAATCCAGCTTTGTTTAGTCAGCACATCAAAACAATACAAAAATGTGCATAGATAAAACAACAAGCAAACACGGCGACTACAATCGCGCCAGCGTTTTATGTAAAATGTGTTTCAGCAACATATATGGTGGTAAAACTCACTGGTCTCTGTGGAGCAGTACACTAACCATCTTTCATAGAGAATGCCGCCACTCTATCTATGTACGACGCTGAGAAGCAGACAGATATGCAATTATGACAGCTCCACCATTAGTCATGCGGTCCCACAAGGCTCCTCTATTTATCTCTTACAAAGAGAGGTCTCATAATACTAAGAAAATAACAGGAATGATATGATGTATACTGCAGCCACTTCAGGTGGTCTTGGCTTGCATGCCATGACATCCATGCAAATGTAATCAACTAATTTGGTCCGACAGAAGAGTTTGGCGAGCACCAACGGTCGAAATACCGCCGAAAAACAATGCTATTTGCAATCAGCCAGTGACTTACTCGCGCATTGTATTCAAAATCCGAAAGAGAAACCTCCTGATGTATTGCCTACGCCGTTTTCAGTTGCCACAGGTGCTGCATTCTTGACCTGGTTCCAGAATGAGCCTTTTGCGCGTTCCACGAGACGAATCCTATTTTCTTCGCACAAATGCTCAAGTTTACCCGGATATACCTAGCATAATGTATGGAGAATATATGATTGTGGGGGTTTCTTTTAAATTGAATCAAACTGCGGACGAGGCCGCAGGCATTCACTGCGGCTTAACTCTTGCGGCGTATGACTTGCTCTTGCCATTGTAAGTGAGTAGATTGAACTACATACCATGCTAGAGCACCTTGCAATAATAATACGTCGAGTTGAGCAACCAAAGCCATACCAAAAGCTGTAAAAGCTGTAAAAGCTGTATTGATTGTTTTGAACTATCATATCGATAAATAGTATTACAAACCTTATCGTATTCCTGTGTAAATCGAGCATATAGTTCCTCCGCTGGCAGTGAGGGCTTGCAACCGGATATTTGGTTGGGTTTGTTTTTCAGGAAGTCGATAACCTTTATCAAATTCGCATTAGACACGTAATTTTGCGTGATTGCAATGGAGTCTTCGATGTTCACCACTGCGTGCCACCATCCACTGGGTACGAAAATCATCTCGCCCTCATTGACTATGCATTCAAAAGGCCTAATGCGAGATTGGTGACGTACGTTGTGAGAAATCAAATATGCTTGTACCGTGTGAAGTACTTTTCCTTGCGGATGAATTTTGACCCAAACATTCTTGCTGTCGCTACTTATGCATGGATAGTGTTATACACGAGTAGAACAAGAGCACATCGCCATCGCACATGTAGCCAATGAATCAGCGAAAAATCATTAGAACTTGACAAAATATCAAATGTTCTAAGCTGACCAAGAAACGATCCAAGATACACGCACATAATTGATGCAACATACTTGACACCTTCCTTCTTGCTTTCCGCGTAGAATTTACTAAACCATTCGTTCAAGGATACAGGAGCGGCCACTTCTGAGCCGTCCTCGCTGGGAAATATACCCGGAGGAGGTACTGACGGTGGATACATAATCCATTTTTTCCTGCCCTTCACCACGGCATTCCATGCTGAGGTACCATTCGGATCAATATGAAATGTGGAGCCGGAGCCAGCTGGACCGATTATGATCCACTTATAGTCTGGACGCGATTCATCGCCAAACAATGAAAACAAATCCTGACTTCCACTGTACGATAATAATGAGATCCGAAAGTGTTTAGGGTAGTGAAATTGTTGATAGCACAGCACTTGTTTTTCACTACGATTGACCGATGGTTGCTGTGCACTCATACACACTATGTTGTATAACATCTCCCGAATGTCTATGCCGAAAATGGTGTGAGCACTCCGGCACTGGACACAAAATTACAAACAGTTCTCACACCATTCGTATTTAACATTTGTGAATTTGGACACCTTGCGGAATTTACTTTCCTTCTAATTTCCGCTGTACGATAATAGTGAGAGATTAGAATATGTTTAGTGTTAACGCAGCCTTTGTTTTTTCACTGATAACTGACAGGTGGTTGCATGCACATTTTGTTGTATAATATCTCCTAAATGTCTATACCGCTAATTGTCAGTGCAATCCGGCACTATTCACAAAACTATAAACAAATCCAATCACCTTCCGTGGTTGCTATTTGTGAATTTCGAACACCTTGCAGTTTTGAAGTATCTCACCTGAAGTAAGGAGGCACAATGTAGTCGTCTACGAGCCCAGGTGCGTTCGTACCAAAAAATTTATCGAACAAATAAATAGGATTTTCATCAGTATCCTTTATACGGTAGTAGTTACTCATTGTGATGTCGATTGGTCCTGCCCTAAACTTGACGTTACCATATTCTTTGCACAAGTGCTCTTCGGACCACTGGATAACGACGAGAATGGTCAAGTTCAATCCATGCGATTTTGCACCTAATCCGTACACTTGATCGGTTTGAGAAATGGATCACTGCTAGATATAAGCGATTCTCACATCGTCGATGACAACTAAACATTTGATAGTTGAACACAAAACAGTCTACTCAAACCACTCCGCGCAGGCGTAGTGCACACACCCCTGTTACGCACATGAAAGCACAATATATTAAAGGTGAAGACAAATCGAATGAAAATCTGATTCAAGCAGGTACAACAACGGAGCGTGAGATGTAATCATGGGTGGTTCTCAACATGCACAAGACAAGTGGGAACATACATCGTGTTCAGTACCTTCTTATAGCCGGGCCATGCGCCCACGACGTCAGTTATGATGACAGGCAAATTAGGTGCCTCAAATTTCTCAACAAAGTCTTCTAACGGTAGATTGTTGACTCTTGGAATATTTTCCACTGTAAGCCAGGACTCATCCACACCCATGGCTGCACAGAACCATGGCTGAAACAGCTCGTCACTGTATACACCCTTAACAGCGATAGGTGTAATTGTCGTAAAATTTGTTATAGGATGCAGTGTCTCTACATTTGATTCCACCGATGTTGTGGCACCTTTGACTGAAGTAGTTGTGGTTACGGTCGTGACAGACTTTGTGGTGGGGCATTTGCGGAGAGCAGCTTCCCGGGACAAGTCTAAGTATGACTGCTTCCAAGAGTTGCGAAATCTACAGATTCGAAGAAAGCAATGGGACAAGAGAGTTCAATAGAGATACATCTGACACAACTCGCCAAACAGACCATCGTGTTCGATTGGGCAGTGACTCAAACTGCAACGAAATTTGTTGTATGGTCACAATACCACCTTGGCCCGGCGCTGCGAGTATAATCAAGATAGTCAAAACGTGCAGATTGTGCCTCAGAGATGTTTTAATAAACAATGCTCTTGAGAAACACAAATAGCCTACCTGAAGTCACCGCCAAACTTCTCGAACACGAGCGGTCGCCATAATGCATCATGTGACGAGTATACATACATCGCACGGCTCACTTTTGCGAGCGTCGATAACTCCCTCTGGATAACAATAAATGCAATAGAATTTGCGGAAATATGAGAAAATAAGGGAGAGTAGTAAATCAACGAATATATTGAATAGTGCAGAAATTTAATAAAGCAGGGAGGCTAAAGCTAACTACATTATGTAACATAGACCTGCTTCGCACATTCATATATATCAGAAATACATATATATATATATATATATATATATTTATCAGAAATATGTATATATATATATATATATATATATATTATAATATATAATATATATAATATAGTATAATATATATATATATATATAT